GAGTTTTCTCCCCCCCCCCCCCAATTAGAACATTAGAGGTTCTGGAATTATGAATTCAGCAAGCCATACAAAGATACCATTATGCCTCTTTCTTTCAAGGTCGAAGGTTACAGCTATTTATTCCGTTACACATTCAGTAGGTTTCAAAACAGCTTCGGAAGAGGGTGTACCTTATCTTGACTCGAAGTCAGCGTGACGAGTGCTTGGGTTTTGTAAGGAATTTCGGTTAGCTGTAGTTGGAGATGTGGGTAAGTTTTATGCAGCTTCTCTGTTTTCACCTAATTGTTTTAGATAAGAATAATCTAATTTGATCATATACAAGAGACGTCAAATAAAAATGTATAGCAACATTTTAGTTGACTGGTAAGTGTGTCCACTTTTAAGTTAAATGTTCGGGAAATTTCCTTTGAATAAGAATCAGGATGCATGAAAGCTGTTTCAATTGTTTTGGAATATTAAAATGTTTAGTTATACAAAGACGGACGTCTTTATTTGTTTATTTCATAATGCTATTATGCACGAAAAACGCGACATGAGTTTCTTTCACTCGCACACAAATAACTTTAAAAAAATTAAACGTTTAGTTAATAAACTCAAGTATTTGTGATAGATTTAGGAAATAAAAAATGAACACATGAAAGACATTTAGTTACGCTTTCTGGATACTAAAAAAAAATGTTATGTTGCCAATGAAATTTTCCCTGATATTTGACCTGTAACTGGTTTTTATTCTCTTTACTGATTTTATTGTACGTGTTCTAGATCATTAAAATCAGTGGAGAAAAAACATACCAATTTCAGGTCAAATATCCGTGAAAATCTAATGAGTTGCAGAATTTTTTATTGTTGTTTTTTTTTAAATTTTGGTGTTGTTGTTTTTTGTGGGTTTTTTTCTATTTCAAACCACATGTTCTAAGTACATCAAGTTAGCATTCTTTAATCTACAGATGTTTACTTTTGACTCCACCAAATGTGGGTACATCTATTTTTTTTTTAATATGTGTGTGTATGTGTGCGTGTTTTAAAAAGATCAAATAAATACGCAAATTATAAAAAATGAGATGGATTTCCTTGGAAATTGCCAAAGTAGGTCATGCTATTTATAGTCTTGAGCCCCATTTGTTTGGCTTTAAATACATTGCTGTATTTAGACAAAATACTTGGGGAAATTTGAGACACGCAGAAGTACATAAAAACAAGTTATTATGATACGGTATAAGTGCGTCAAACAGTTAGTATACAACATATTGGCAGGGGAACTGTGGAGGAAAAAAAAGAGGCTGGGGGGGGGGGCTACTCTGCGGGGCAGCAATTTATTTTTTCTTAGTATTGAAGTGTGGCATGTTCGGTCCATTGCAAAATTTGAGACACGCAGAAGTACATAAAAACAAGTTATTAGGATACGGTATAAGTGCGTCAAACAGTTAGTATACAACATATTGGCAGGGGAACTGTGGAGGAAAAAAAAGAGGTTGGGGGGGGGGGCTACTCTGCGGGGCAGCAATTTATTTTTTCTTCATATTGAAGTGTGGCATTTTCGGTCCATTGCCTACGTTAGCCTTCCCCGGGCGGAGCTAACCGTAACTACGCCACTGGAGGGGAGAAGGATTTCCCTGGAAATTGCCAAAGTAGTACATGGTATGAGGGAACTTGAAATCTAAAGACAGATAGTATAAAAGAAGAACGTTTCGGCTAAGAGCCTTCATCAGCAGTCAGGACAAAGAAGAAACAACAAGAAAACAGTTCAAAAACGTGTGTTTGGAGGTGGCCGTGAAAGCTGCCGGAAGTTGGATTTTCCAAAACATAAAAAAAAATTACTTGAAAGAAAAAAGGTGGGGGGGGGGGTGGGGGGAAATAAGGGATATATATTTGTATATATATATATATATATATATATATATATATATATATATATATTTATTTATTTATTTATTTATTTTTTCTGGAGGGCTGCATTTTAGAAAAGTCGAACTATGTGGTTTGGGTTATAGAGTAGAATATTCTAACTATGATAGAAGGAAGTCACCGATGGATTGGGTTATAGAGTAGGACATTTGAACTATGATAGGGCTATAATTACTGGCCATGATGAGATGTTTTTACGTTATTTAATTTCACCACAAAAGCAAGTGGAATAAGGTGGATTGGATGTTGCATTAGAAGACGAGAACTAGCTTGGGTTACTGGTCTATGGCGGCGTTCTTGTACAGACTTTCACCCTCCTTTTGCTGGTGACAAAAGTAGAATAGGCACCAGACTTCATGACTTGAAACTTATTTGTTGATGCATACAACTAAAGTGACCATTTATCATTAGCAAGCAAAAGAGAACACGTGGTAAGGGGCCATCAATCTATTGCTTACTCACTGAGGAGCTTGTTGATTTAGATTTTGCGTATAGGTGCAAATACTCGGGGGGTAGAGGGGTTAGGGGATCGTTTTACTATAGGTCCGCTGGATGTCGCGTCCATTTAAATTGCATAAAAAATTAAAATTATGATATTTATCTAATATTTCGAGGCCCATAAAATGACAGCGGAGAAATTCAGGACATTTTTAAAACACGGTTTAAGGCAGGTTCTCCTAAATTATTCTATAGTCTGCAGCATCTAAAGCTTGTTTGACTACAGAAAGTCTCGCGCCCCAAAAGAATTGCTTAACCACGTCTTGCTCATCCTAGGAATGTATTGTTTTACTAAGTCTTTGAAGCCCTAAAATTAACAATGCATTTTTATGGTGGGAAAAAATAGTGGATTTTTCTTTCTATTACGAAAACTGTAAAACTTTAAAAAAAATAAAAGTGTGGCTTATTAGAAATTAACTTCTAAATGACAAAATTAAAAACATATATAAACATATCTAGCATTGCAGAAAAAATTAATTGACTTATATTAAAATCACGCTTCCTGTAAACTTGAAAAAATTCAACCAAAAAGAAAAAAACAAATTCAAAAAATAAAACGGCAAAAAGGTCCTGGAGTGAAACATTCCAAACTAGTATTTGAATGAACTTTTAAGTTTCGAAGCTGTGTATAACTACAGATACACAATTTATATGTGATCAATCGATTTTAATGCCTCTCTTTTCCCCCCAGAAAACTCAATATGTCGCTAAAATCCCTGACGGCCCACTTATAGGGAGGGAATTTCACATTTCTGGTACACCGGCTAAAGGTGCAAAAAGGTAATAATTATATCAACATTACTTCAAAGATTTAAAGCCAATAGAAAAGTGGCGTTAAAAGGTAATAAGTATATCAATATTACTTCAAAGGTTTCAATCCAATAGAAAAGTAGCACCAAAAGGTAATAATTACATCAACATTAGTTCAAAGATTTAAAGCCAATAGAAAAGTGGCGCCAAAATATAAAAATTATATCAAAATTACTTCAAAGATTTGAAGCCAATAGAAAGGTGGCGCCGAAAGGTAATAATTACATCAACATTAGTTCAAAGATTTAAAGCCAATAGAAAAGTGGCGCGAAAATATAAAAATTATATCAAAATTACTTCAAAGATTTAAAGCCAATAGAAAGGTGGCACCGAAAGGTAATAATTATATCAACATTAGTTCAAAGATTTGAAGCCAATAGAAAAGTGGCGCGAAAATATAAAAAATATATCAAAATTACTTCAAAGATTTAAAGCCAATAGAAAGGTGGCGCCGAAAGGTAATAATTACATCAAAATTACTTCAAAGATTTAAAGCCAATAGAAAGGTGGCGCCGAAAGGTAATAATTACATCAAAATTACTTCAAAGATTTAAAGCCAATAGAAAGGTGGCGCCGAAAGGTAATAATTACATCAAAATTACTTCAAAGATTTAAAGCCAATAGAAAGGTGGCGCCGAAAGGTAATAATTATATCAACATTAGTTCAAAGATTTAAAGCCAATAGAAAGGTGGCGCCGAAAGGTAATAATTACATCAAAATTAGTTCAAAGATTTAAAGCCACTTTTATGGGGGGTTACATTTTAACAAAGTTTTTCCCACTTCCATCAAAATATTTGTGTGTGCATAACTCTAGTATTAGCGTAAACAAGCTCATGAAGAAATGACAATAACTTTGAAAACATTACAGTAACTTTGAAGAGATTCTCCTAAAGGCGTATCAGCCTATTAGCGTCATTGATTGTGATGTTCTGCTTAAGTTGCGAATGTTGTGGGTCCGGATCCAGAAACAATCAATATTTGTTTTTTACTTTGCTTCAGGTATTACACAAATATTTGGAAGTAAATTTCCTAAATAACATTACGGGGCATAGCCATTTAACCGAAATTCTATTTGCCTGCAAGAATCATATTATATAAACCACTCAATCATCTTATCTAATGACCAGATTCAACATCAACATTGCCGAGGCTAAGATCCCTCACAATGATGTTCCTTTCCATTTCGATGTAAGATTTAGCGGGAATGTCACCAATAAGATTGTCTGCAACAGCTGGAGGAATGGCTCATGGGGAAAGGAAGAGATTCTCAAAGAGAGCTTGGACCTTGCTGTCGGCACACACTTTGAAATTACTATTACTGTTCAAAAGCTCTCATATGTGGTACAGTTTCTAGTTATCAATGTCAATAGTGTTGGGGGGCTTTAGGATACATTTAAAAAAAAAAACTATTTTAAAAATCCAATGAAATCATGCTTTTAACTTCATATAAAAAGAGTCATTTCAAAAGCTGATGTAAATAGAAGGAACATATACCCACCATCGACCATGATAAAAAAAGAAATAAAAAAAAAAACCTCATTGGGATTTAATAATTTGTGCTGCTATTGTTTACAAAAATACACTTTCGATCTTAACAAACTTGTTGAGTAAATTTTGATGTTTGCCTGTTTGTTGTCTTTAAATACCTTTCATTATTAAGCTTTTATTTTGCAGCATTTAATTTTATTGTTTTAAAATGTAGTTTCTATCATATGGGTACTGTTACATTGACATTAGGATGATAATGTTACATTGACATTAGGATGATAATGTTACATTGACATTAGGATGATAATGTTACATTGACATTAAGATGATAATGTTACATTGACATTAGGATGATATTGTTACATTGACATTAGGATGATAATGTTACATTGACATTAGGATGATAATGTTACATTGACATTAGGATGATAATGTTACATTGACATTAAGATGATAATGTTACATTGACATTAGGATGACATTGTTACATTGACATTAGGATGATAATGTTACATTGACACTACGATGATAAAGTTACATTGACATTAGGATAATAATGTTACATTGACATTAAGATGATAATGTTACATTGACATTAGGATAATAATGTTACATTGACATTAAGATGATAATGTTACATTGACATTAGGATGATAATGTTACATTGACATTAGGATGATAATGTTACATTGACACTACGATGATAAAGTTACATTGACATTAGGATAATAATGTTACATTGACATTACGAGGATAATGTAACATTGACATCAGGATGATCAAGTTACATTGACATTACGATGATAATGTAACATTGACATCAGGATGATAAAGTTACATTGACATTACGATGATAATGTAACATTGACATCAGGATGATAATGTTACATTGACATAACGATGATAATGTAACATTGACATCAGGATGATAAAGTTACATTGACATTACGATGATAATGTTACATTGACATTACGATGATAATGTTACATTGACATTAGGATGACATTGTTACATTGACATTAGGATGATAATGTTACATTGACACTACGATGATAAAGTTACATTGACATTAGGATAATAATGTTACATTGACATTAAGATGATAATGTTACATTGACATTAGGATAATAATGTTACATTGACATTAAGATGATAATGTTACATTGACATTAGGATGATAATGTTACATTGACATTAGGATGATAATGTTACATTGACACTACGATGATAAAGTTACATTGACATTAGGATAATAATGTTACATTGACATTACGAGGATAATGTAACATTGACATCAGGATGATCAAGTTACATTGACATTACGATGATAATGTAACATTGACATCAGGATGATAAAGTTACATTGACATTACGATGATAATGTAACATTGACATCAGGATGATAATGTTACATTGACATAACGATGATAATGTAACATTGACATCAGGATGATAAAGTTACATTGACATTACGATGATAATGTTACATTGACATTAGGATAATAATGTTACATTGACATTAGGATAATAATGTTACATTGACATTACGATGATAATGTTACATTGACATTACGATGATAATGTAACATTGACATCAGGATGATAATGTTACATTGACATTAGGATGATAATGTGACATTGACATTAGGATGATAATGTTACATTGACATTAGGATAATAATGTTACATTGACATTAGGATGATAATGTTACATTGACATTACGATGATAATGTAACATTGACATTAGGATGATAATGTTACATTGACATTAGGATGATAATGTTACATTTACATTACGATGATAATGTTACATTGACATTACGATGATAATGTTACATTGACATTAGGATGATAATGTTACATTTACATTAGGATGATAATGTTACATTGACATTAGGATGATAATGTTACATTGACATTAGGATGATAATGTTACATTGACATTACGATGATAATGTTACATTGACATTACGATGATAATGTTACATTGACATTACGATGATAATGCTCATAACTGGTTAAAAAAAGTAGTCCTTGTTTTCCAGGTTAAACTGAATAACGTTCAAGTCAAGGTGTTTCACCAGCGAACAGTTCCCGCTGAAGAAAACAACCTTTTAATCATTGAAGGACATGTTGATAACGTCAAAGTTAAGATGTAACCAACTAATAGATTACCCAGAAAGTACACGTTGATTTTTAAAATCATAGTCGCTTCATTATCATGTATTCCATTTTGTATAGACTGATTTCTGATTAAATCCTGTCAACTTCTCAACATAATCCTGTCAACACTTTGAGTTAATCTGTCAACTTTTTAAGATAATCCTTTCAACTTGTTGAGATAATCCTGTCAATTTTAGAGATAGGGATCGATTCCAGATTTAAGGAATTTTGATTGTTTTTCAAATTATGTTTTTTCTTTCATACTTAGAAGTTCTTAATATAAAACCAAAGTCATACATGTAGGTAACTTTTACATTGACCAACACACATTTTGGTGCATCAATGAAATAATACTAAATAGTGTCTAAAAGTGTCATACATTGAAATTTGCTTTTTTTGCAATTCAATTTGCCTTTAAATGTAGCGGGAAGACTATTTGTCCACTTTAAAAAAAAAAATAGATTTTAGATGTTCACATCAATTTATTATTTTTTTTATACTAGTTTTAGAAAAAAAAAATTCTTTTGATAAAATGTCAATTTGAAAACAATCCATGATTTTTTTTTTTTGGTGGGGTTGATAAGGGAATAGATCAAATATTTTTTAAAAAGGCGCCAAAAGCATTTAAATCAAGTAAGTTATACTATTTAGAAATTCCAAATAAACTTTTTAAGTTACTGCATTTGTTTTGAAATATATTCCTGTTTCCTTTTCCTTCAGATAAATAATATTTTAATAAATACTTGGGCTTAACCAGTAGTGTTACAAAAAGAGTTAACGTCTCATTTTCTATAATATGCAACACAATCTACTGAACCATGTCGTATTGTATTGCCTTCCTCAATCGTTAGTGCTAAGAAATGAACCACTGATAAGAACAGGGAGTTGCCGGATCACGGAATAGAGATGGCGTTATACAAAAACCCGTCGACAGATAAGATGCTGTCGTTCTTTTTATAACAAAGACTTACAAAACAACACTCGCAGTATAGCGATAATAGCAATACCTTCCTGCACCAGGCTAGGGAAAAGACTCACCGACGCACACATGTCCTAAGTGAAAGGACGGCCCATGATCCATTTTTGTGTGGTGTGCAGCCCCAACAAGGATGTGAAAAACTGTGACATTTAAAGAAAAAATCTTCTCTAAGGAAAAAAATCAACCTATTGACAGGATTTCAGACGTTACTGCAGCAAACTCGCTGTGTGACAACCTGGCTATTTGTTCACTTTGTACTATGAATCAGACGTGACTGCGGAAAACTCGCTGTGTGACAACCTGGCTGTTTGTTCACTTAGTACTATGAATCACACATTACTGCAGCAAACTCGCTGTGTGACAACCTGCCTAGTTTTTCAGTTTGTATTATGAATCAGACATTACTGCAGCAAACTCGCTGTGTGACAACCTGCCTAGTTTTTCAGTTTGTACTATGAATATAAAACATGAGAATTTGGGGGGGGGGGTCAATTTTGAATAGGAAAAGTAAGACGCACCAGACGAAAATATGTATATGAGATATGATTTTTTTTTAAAGACCCGTTTTAAATAGCCATACAAAATGTAGATATTGTCTACAAAACAATGTTTTTCTCTTTTTTGTAATTGTACATTTTGGGAAAATCAACTAAAGTTTTAAATAAATGCAAAATGGTAATTATTATATTAATATACTGTTTTTTTTTGTTTTTTGTTTTTTCTAAAGAAATGTTTTGAATTTAAAAATAGATATTTTTTTTAAAATCATTAATTGATGAAGTACTTTAAACAAATAAATATTTCCTTTAGAAAAATATGAAACAACTATTCGGATACAAGTAACAATATAATCCCTGCATAGTCGGGGAACCGAAATTTTAACTAGCCTTTTTCTGTTGCTAGTTGGTTAATGGTAGAATGATGCAAAATTAAAGTCATGTATGCGCCAAAATGCATCCCATAATTTTGAATATAAAAAAACATTTCTTGGGGGAGGGGAGGGAAGCTTATACTAAGACCTCACCTCAAGCCTTCCACCAGTTTTGTTTGGCAGTCTCGATCTCTTCTCGTCACCAATTAAAGTGACAGAACCGATACATTTTCATTTTTTTAAAAATGCTAGATGCCATTCAAAAAATCTTTTTGTAATTAATTACGACGAAATTATGAGTTTCCTTTAATTTTATATACGCAGCTGGACAATAAAGATTCCAGAGACGAAACTAACCTGGGGATAAAAGAATAACCTCAGGGGACTCCACACCCAGATTGAATTTATGGTTATGTATGGCCATGGGGAGGGGACGTAGTTAGAACTGACTCTGGGTGTGAACATGGTAAATTTCTGGATTGATATGAGGCCCTGAACCCCCATCCTCTCGATCGCCTAAAATGCTATCCCATTTAACGGGATAAAAACTTCTGAAGGAAACTGGTCAAAACGCATAGGTCAACCTGGGCCATAATGATTTTATAACATTACTTGAATAATAGGCTAAAGACAGAGCTTTTCGATAGATAAGCGGCGCCCAAGGTGAACTAGTATGACGATTTTGTGCCCCTGTCTATGTGAAGTACATGGGATTGTATCGCTTAATACACTATTAAAGGTCTACCTCCAGACAATTTTGGCGCCCCTTAATTTTTGGTGCCAGGGAAGCTTGGCCTTCTCGCCCCAAATGTGCATGGCCCTGACTAAATAGGGTGATATAAGGGGCTCTTAGTGCATTACTTTACCCACGGCCCCACTGCTGTAAAGAAGGCCATACCCTTTAATGAATACAGTTGCTTGCTTTCGTTTGTGCTTTCTGCCTTAAAATCTAGCTGCCACTTCATGTATATTCCACGAAAAAATATGTAACCCTGCACTCAGATTAAGTGATCAAGAATCACCAGAAATAAGTGACAGGTAAGAAAGCTTTTTTCTTTTTATCGATGCTATGAAATGTGGGTCTTTATAAGGTGTCTGATCTGTTGACCATCGAAAACTTTCAGTTTCTCCATGGTAAATCCGGGTAAGTTGTGCACTAAGCATTCAATTCATAGAATCCCCTTCCTTCAAAGTAATTAAAGTTTGTTTCATCAGGCAGACCTATAGCTTTATAAGAAGTGGTGGAAGTGTGATTTTATCTCTTGGAAACACATTTTCTTGGAGTAAAATTTAATTTTCTCTTTCGTCTGCCATATATATTTTCTTGGAGGCCAATCTTACTTCTCCAATATTTATGTGTGGCTGTACCATCCACAGGTATACAAAAATGATACATTTTTGTGGCCACTTTGTAGACAAAGACGAAAATTGACCACAATCAAAGACTATAAAAATATGGTTTTGGTGTTCTCTGTTTTTTATTTCTACCCCAGCCCCATCAATGTGGACTGGCAGATTGACATAGAACTTGATCCATAACCATAATTAAAAAAAAAAAACCACACATTTTAAACAAAATCCGAGTGTGTGACAGGTTCTCTACTTTTACGATGATTTCGATTGAATACTTGGATATTTGATATTAACCAAACAAATTTAAATAACAGTGACCGTAGTCAACCATCAACAAAAGGACAAACAATGAATTCAGTTGTAGTGGCCATCTCCAGTTGTCAGTCATGGACAACTTTATGTTGCAGTTTCAAGAACAAAGTCCTTTCAGAAAGTCAAGGTAAAAGGTAAAACTGACCAACAAGGCAACTTAAAGAAAAACTGCAGACTTAACAACAAAAATGTGAACTACAAAGAAGTTTTTCGCCCAATTATTAAACATCATATAGCCAGCAATGTTTCCTTTAAGCTGCGCGGCCACGCTGGTATCTCACAGACGTTGCGCAGTTTTGATTACCCGCGAAGCAAATTTTTATAAAAATAAATTTGATCAGATAGGCTGCACCTTGCAGCCGCAATTATATATTTTTATAGCATGCAAATCCATATTTTTAAATTGATTCATCTATATATTTTTTTCTACTTTTTACGTAGATCTATTGATTTACATACTCACCGATACATACCGGATCAAGATAGCCTCGTTCTGAACCACCCCCGACATTTATGTAAATTTCGTGACGCATACTGCGCAGTGAATGAGAATAAAGTAAATAAATGGCATGTCTCTACTTTATTAGAAATGTAGTAGCTAATTATTTTTAATAATGATTAAACCATATGTCTAAACGTCAGTTAAGCGAACAAGTAGCGTCATCGCATGCTGATAAAAAGAGTGGATCAAATTTTAAAATGAAATGGCTCAATGAATTTATGCATGTAGCACTGCCAGAGTCGTCGACAGAGTGGACTGTCAAACTGGGTGATATCGTAAATAACGTGAAATCGATGATGATGTTGCCTGTGAAATTTGCTTCAAGGCTAATGCAGGTGGAGATTTCTCCACAGATAAAAGGTGGGAGGCTCGGAAGCTGGATTATCTTAAACGACATAACAATCAAATATTATACAATGATGCTGTACAGAGACTCCGTTTTATACAGTCAGGAGGTTAAAATTTTGATTAACAACGTACTCATGGCTATCAACGTGAACACATCTGTACACGACGATATAGTTAAGTCTGCCCCAGTCCTTGAAAGCTGGCGAAGTAAGAATTTCACTTTTATTTTGTTGATTCTATCGATTCTGTAGTGAGGAATGCTATAATTAGCGAACTTCGCAATGCAAAGTTCCGCACATTAACAGTAGATGAGAGTACTGATCACTGACAAAAATGTTGATCTTATATGCCATCTTAGGCATATCCAGGTAATGTTTACAAGCAAGTGGTTGTTGGAATTTAGTATCTGTTAGCAGGTGACAGTAAATATGTAGGATCAGCATTTATATATTTTTATCAAGATAATTTATTGGACATACAGGAAATGTTTATGTTTATATCTGACGGTGCATCAGTTATGCTCGGCAAGAACAATGGAGTTGCAGCAATTCTTGGCCGAATTATTCCACATCTACTGGAACAAAATTGCGTTACTCATCGTGAAGATTTAGGCATCGATGATGCTTGCAAACATATAAGCTTAATGGCAGTCATTGAAACATTCCTTGGGACAGTGTAAACATTGTTCGGTAGGTCGACAGTACGGAAATTCCAGTTTACCGAACTAGTTAAGGTGTAGGAATGTGATTCCGTAGCCTTAGACCATTGAATGAAATACGATTGCTTTCGCGGCACTTTGCTTTACGAGCATTGCTGAGAAACATACAAGTGTTGACGGAATACTGCAAGGAGCAGGTGGACCTGTAAAATGGTCCAGTTCATAAGTATTGTTTGAAGAAACTAAGCGATCCGCAGTTTCGAACTGCACTGATTGTCTTTGAGGAAGTTGCTGGTGAACTTGCCGAATTAAACAAACTGCTAAAAAGAGAGAAATCGTACAAGCAATCGAGGCATACCAGTTTGTAAAAGGAAGGAAAATGTGCACTGGTCTGAAGAGGTTGCTGAATTGCTTGCAAATGACGAGGATATAAAAATGAGTTCCATCCCAAAATTCGTTGAATGTTTATGTTTGCTCCGAAACTCTAG